GTGGAAAGGGACCTGGGGGTCCTGGTGGACAGGAAGCTCAATATGAGTGAACAGTGTGCTGCTGCATCCAAGAAGGCCAATAGGATGCTGGGTTGCATCAAAAAGGGCATCACCAGCAGAGATAAAGAAGTCATTATCCCTGTCTACTCGGCACTTGTCAGGCCACACCTGGAATACTGTGTGCAGTTCTGGTCCCCGTTATACAAAAAAGATGTTTACACACATCTGTGAGCCCACCTAAACTACACCCAGAGGTCCTTTTCTCTGTAGGACTCTGATGTTTCCTGTGCACTCCTTCACTCATGCAAAAATTCAGCATAGTCAGAAAATACCAGATCTTCATTTAAATAAACAGATTCCTTGTTTTATCAACTTGATTAAGTCTCAAGAGTCCTTTGCATGACATAAAAGGTTCTTTATGGGATGCTTCTATTAGAATATGTAAACTATTTTAAAGCAGTATTGAAACCAGCATTTTATTTGCCAATATGTAACTGCACAAAATAATACCCAGGCACTAATAGCTGCAAGATAGCCTCAGTAATAATTACCTTAGCAAACATATAAAAGCAATAAAACGAGAGCATTGCATGAAAATTTGCAGACACAAACCATTTTCTGGCTGAGGGCATACAAAGGCAAGCTGCACTTTCCCATGCTACTGACAACATTAATTTCCCAGTTAAGCATAAAGCAAAGAATAAACTAATCCAGAGAATAAGCAGCAGCAATCCTTTGAAATTATGAAATTCAAGAAGCATCTATGCAATACAATCCAACTCTGATGTATGAAAAAGGAGTAAATACAGTAGGGAAGCATACTTTCCAAATATACCTTTAGTGACAATTAAAATTGCTCCCTTATCATAGTACTTATATTGTCCTCACTACCACAGCTGCTGATTTTTTTTTTTTTACAGCTACACAGTTTTTAATGCCCTCATCTTCACTTTCAGATTCTGTATCCTCTTCTTGCAGATGGTAAACTGGAATACAGAAGCTAAGGGACACCTCATCAAGACACACAAGAAATTTATGGCAAAGCCCAGAAATGAACATAATGTCCTGCTGAGTGCACTATTCTCCCACTGCTATCTTCTAAGTATGAGGCTAGTTCTGCTTCCACTTTATTTTCACCTCTTATGGTTAAGGATGGGTGCATTAGTGTTTGGTTTGCTTTCCAGTGCAGATGAGAGGCCTGCACAATGTCATAGCCACATAACAAAGATGCATTACACTCTAAGCTTGGATTTACCCAGGGGCTTAAAAAAAAACAACCAAAAAAACAAACAACAAGCAATGAGAACCCCTTCACGAGATCTTGTCTGCCACACAGTGGGAGGCATCCTCAGCATTTCATTCACCTGTTTTCTGGTTCCTCTTCCCCACAGCTGACCAGATAGCGCTCTCACCAGTCTTTTGGAGTCTCACCTTTCAGAGCAAGCAAAGTTGTAGCATAGTGTAACATCCCATAACCACGAGTCTTTTCTCTGCTGAAGCTTCAAACCCAAACCCAACATCGAGGGGACAAGGGAAAATCTGTGGTATTTCCCATGAGGTTATGCATGTCCCTGCCTTGCAGGGGAAAGAAGTCACACTGCATTACTCAACTATTGTCTCACTTGGCCTGTGCCTATTCTATCACATACTCAAAAAACCCACTCATCATTGCCATAATTAATGTCTTCTAACCAAAGGAATTTTATAGATGAACAGAAAGTGGGAGACATTTGCAGAGCCTAGGTGTTGACAAACAAGATCAAGCCCTCTAAGATTAGCTGACAAAAAGGCAGGAGCCCTTGAGAAGCATCTCAGCACATACCTACTTCTGTTGCACATGTTACCAACCACCTCACCATTTCCCGCCGTCGCCAATTCAGTGTTGACAGCGTCATCCGCATCACCTATTAAAACGACACAAACAAAATACAAATTAATTCTATTGCAAAACCAAGACAATATACCAATGGGGATTTAAGTTACTCAAATATGCTGAGGTTCAAAATGGCAGCCTCTTGCCCTCTCCACTCTGTTACATCTTTTTAGCTGATATGTCAAAAGACTTGACAAATACTGCTCAGCTATCTTAGAAGAGCATACAGAGAGTAATTCCAACTGCAGGTCCTTCAAGGCTAGAGGAGAAACTCTGTTTCATTTGGGGAGAAGAAAAAAAAAAACCACACAAAAAAGCCCCCCCCCAAACAACAAAAAAGCCCAACCAATTACCAGTTATTCAAATTAAATTATATTGTGTCTCCTCCCTCTATGTATGTTAGTCTTTAAAGTGGAAAAGTGTCAACTCTTGTTGGGCAAACTAACCCATCTAATTTTTCCCCCATCTGCATTTTTTTTCATTGACTTCAACAATACAGACAGGAGTTAGAGTGTACTGTGATTTGACTAGCTGCTTATGCTGCAAAGATATATATATACACGCTTCCAGATATATACAGATATTATTAGTAAGTCCATAGCGGTGATTTCTCTCTCTGAACAAGGAGTCCCTGCAAAGAAGTTCCATCATTAAACCATCAGAATCATAGAAAAAGGACTTTAAGCTCTGATTGCAGTGCCCATGTTTTACATCACTTGCAGTTATTGCCTATGTTGTTTCTCAAAATGTGGGCAAATATGTTTATGCAGTAAAACAAACACTGCATGGAAATTGCATGGAAAGCTTGTTTCAGCTAACTGGACAGACCCCACAGACATCTAGATGAAGAAAGCAAGTAGTTTTCCCCTTACAATATCAGTGATCATACTATGGTATTACTATTTGCAGCAATTAAACAAAAAGAGCATAATAGGTCAATCAGAGCTTTCAGTGATGATCTTTACATATTAACTCATAAAATGCACTCACAAAACAGCTTGGAGTCAGCAGCGTTTATAAGAGGGTTTTCAACCCATATCCCCCCCCAGTCCTAAGGTGACTTCAAAGTAGCATGTAGCCCTCTGTCATATTTGTTACTCCTGCCACCTACTTTAGTCCTAAGCTGTAGATAGGATAATTAAGAAGATGGAAAGACTGCAAATGCACAGATGATTTTTAAGAAGTCTGGTTATAAACAACCATCACTGATTCCATGCTGGCCTCCAAACATTCACACCTTGGGAGCTTGGTGACTCGTTGTACATCACTCAAAGTTACAGCATAAGGTCAGCTTTGTTGGCCTCAGACATTGTGGTATCATTTTGACTAAACAGTAATTTAAGTGCTAGATTGGAGAACGGCATTTTGAGAGAAAGCAAATTGATCTGTGAGGAGCAACCCAACACATTTTTAAATATGAAAATATGGCTAACAAATTATGGAACCAGCCTTTGCTTGAAGTCTTTCTGGAAGAAAAACAGGCATCCCCAAATCAAAATGCTTTGGAGTGCAAGTATCTGTCCTATTCTCTCCATCAAAGAGAAAGAGTCTAGGTGACTTCCTGTATTGATGCACACACAAATTGAAGGCTAACGCTCTTTCTTCTCTGATGACTTCCCTCACTGTGGTGGTCTGTAAAAGTCCACAAGAGCCTTCAGCATTCATAGTGGGCATAACAGCAGCTCCAGTGTAGACAGTCCTAACTTGAGAGCAAAAACCAATACTATATCTAGTTTCTTGACCTGGAAAAATTTCTTGACTTGAACTATTCTGGAATTAGGTTCCTTTCATTTGATTAAACTGACAAGCTGAGAGCACTAAAAGAGGAGCCCTTTACTGATGATAAAAAAACCCAAGGATTTCAAATAAAGCATATATTGATGTCTTGACCAAGGAGGAGCTGAAGTTAATTTATACTGTAGCCCATGTAGCCAAAGAACTATTTCACTTCTGCTCAATACATTCTTGAGCCACCTCTTCGTAAAAGGGAGTTCCAGATCTGTCCAAATTCTATCCAAGATCTGTGCTATCAATTGAAGAGAGCTTCTCAACAGGTTAGTAAGTCTGAAAATGACAAGAAGCCCCTGGGAATTACATAGCTTATCTGAAAGCCAAGCTCTCTTCCACAGAGAATAACCTTGACTTTGTCCTGATGGATTTTTTTTTTTTAATAAGAATTTCTTAGTCTAGAGGAACAGAAGATCTCACTACCCATAAGAGATGCAAGAAATGGCCAACCAACCATTAGCTCCCGCACCAACGTGCAACCTCTTTGTCATGCACATTGGAAGGAGGTTGATTTATTTACAGGCTTTCAGGGAAAGGACACCACTTGCCAAATATGCATCAAGTGATCACCTGCACTAACTTCCTCAGCAGTTCTGCCAGCAGTACCTGTCTGCATGTGTGTGGTAATACTTACTTGCATTGATGTAGCGTACAACAGGCAAATGGAGGAATAGAAGTCCCTCCTGTACCTGCAGATCTTACAGCGTCTGTGCCAGTAAGGTTCTGAAGGACAGAATACACCTGACATGCTCCATGCCCATTTGGCCACGCTGATGACCTCTTTCCACAGCTAGTTTAAATGCCTTCCCTCTGCTGAGTCACATAACACATGCTGCCATTGGAAATAGGGAAAAGAACCCAGGAGTCCATACATTACTCCCAGATCTAGAACAATATAAGAGGCTTTTCTGTCACAGAAATCCCAGTGACAGAGTTGTGAAATTGTTGGTATCATCAGTCCAACTTGTCACTGTTGTAGCTGAGAGGCAGAACAGTATACCTGCAAGGACACTGCTGTTCAGTTTGCCATGTGAGGGGAGAAACAGAGTTTTATAGGGCACATAAATGTCATAAGCAGTCAGTTACTAGACAGCAAATATAGACAATCTAATTGCCATTAGATCGGGGGGCAGGAGAGGGGAAAGCATCTGTAGGCCACTGAAGACAGTGCTGACACTGTAAGGCTTTTACAGGAAAAATGTTACTGTAGAAATCTATACAGCTATGAGTTACTACCAGAAAACTGCTATGCATCTTCCTTCTGGAAAGCAAACTACCTTTAAGATTCTTTAAACACCTTAGTAAGCTTGGGGCAGGCAGTGGATATGTTCTATACCAGTTTATTCCAAACACCGGATTTAGGAGAAAGTACAGGTTCATGATATTTCTTTCACTAGATCTTACTGAAGACATTCTGATAACACCATCATCCACACAGGGGTATCCATGAATGCAGTGATATCCAAAGTGTGCTGCTACCACTGAATGATACTTGGTGAATGCCTGAGGTGACATTCAAGTCAATCATAAGGATCTTTCTCTCTCAAGTAAACAAACATTTAAGGCAGAAACATACCAAGATGTGAAAAAAGAAGCGGATTTCCACAGCAACCTTGGGAATAAGAAAGGCTAACAAAGCACACAATCTCAACTTTCTGATTAAAGACTTTAGCTTCTAGACGTCTAGAATAGGCAATTAGCACCTTTCTTTGGCATGAAAAGCAACTGGGATAATATCCTTTTCCCAGAAGTCTTTGGAGCTTTGTTTACTGAAGCAAAGTAATAAATGGTTTTCTGACCTTTGCATTTTTTTTTGTTTGTTGTTTTTGTTGTTTTTAAGAACTCCCTGAAGAGGGATGAAGAGATTTAATTTTGTTGAAATGAATTGTGTGAACTCCAAGATTCATCAGTGTAAGGCAATATTACTCCAGATACCTAAAAACTTAGCCGTCTCCTTTTAGCTTGTAAAGTCTCTCCTAAGAGCCTGAAAACCAATCTGAGGTTCTTGTAAATGTCAAGCTGAGTCTGATGCAGATGACCATCCCACAGCTTGTGGAGTGCAGGATTTGATGAAGGAAGTGACAGGGCTGCTGTTAGCACAGTCTACCTTAGAAACAGGTCATTATGGTTGACCTTGGCTTTCTCTAGTAATTCAACAAGCACCTACCAAATCTCATTTGAGGGAAAGGAAGGGAAGGATGGGAGGGATGATAAGAAACCCCTCAAGGCCATGCAAACGATCTGCAAAAGTGCATTTCTGGCAAGCAGAATAATTTTGCTCTCTAGCTATCCCTACATATACTCCTGAACCCATTTCATTGGTCCTCTCTCACCCCTGAACAGAGGAGTGCCCTGCAGCCAGCTGCTTCCAGCTCTCTCTTCCACTCAAATGGCACAAAGGGGTTGCACAGACCCTTGCTCTTTATTTACCAGTCAACTGTGCTTTACATCAGAAAACAGAATCTAAAAATTCCAGGCAGAGCCCAAAGAGGGTATGGACCTCAGTGACTTAAAGAGCTGTACCCACCAACACAGGGTCAAATTCCCGTCTTCTACTGTAGTAATAATGAACGAGGGAAATACCTGAAGGCCCAACTCCAGAGAAACTTTCAGAAGAGTGATATCTGGCAAGCTGTCCATGAGTGTTGCTATTTTAAATGCATCCTGGGCAAGTTTGAAGATGTGTGATGAGGAGTGGATATTTTTCTGGATGGATTCTAACACTGTTTCCAGCCTCCGAACATCACCTGCAAGGTGCAAAGAGAATCACCAAAATGGAACAAGCTCCTAAAACATCCAGAGACGTATTATAAATGAGCCTGCCATTGCTATGCAATAGTATGTTGTTTCAATTATACTCACTTTGTTTTTAGAAACCTTCCATAATTAAATCATGTACGAATGAAAGACATAAGACAGCACAAACTCTTCTAGTGCCTGATGGTGTTAGTGCAATGCATCACCAAAAGTCATCCTGATTAGTGAATTTTAGAAGTGATTTGTCCACTCCTGGGTCGCACAGTCTATGCCGTGTGTCAGAAGAACAAAAAGCTGTCTCATAAGCCTCAAATCAAGTTCATCTGTCTACCTAGCTAGCTTAACTACTTTGCTAGAAAACTAAGTGACAGGTTTAAGCCAGTTCAGTTTGTTGTACTCATTTCAAGCTCCTGTCAGACTGCAATTTGGATTCCTGAACACAAGTTTTATAATCTGTTTACTCCATGCAATATTAAAAGCATACATTTAGTTCAGTACATAACTGACAGCAACGTACCTTTGGCTGCTGTTAGCATGGTTGATGCCAGCTCACACTGCTGGGATTCGATGTGACTTAGGGTGAACCAGCGGGGATACCGGTTTGGAACAACTGATGCAATGTGGTGTGGGCGGGACATGTCTCCCGAAGGAGCTGTAGATTCCAATACTAGCAACCTGAAATAAGGAAGAAGTCCTCATTCATTAAATCATTATTACATTAGGTTACTCATGAGCAAAACTAAAGCTGTAAGAACACTTGACCTTGTTTATGAAATGTGCCTTTTTGGTTATAAAAAAAAAAGATGGGAAAACCACTTCTCTTCTTGGGGAATCTTAAAAGTCCATTTGCCAAACCTGCCTACATCAGTGGGCATCTGCAGGAATTCACAGGACACTTAAGCCACCCATTAGTAAAGACAGCAGAGACTTTCTGCATCATGCATACAGCTGAAGCTTTTCTCCCTGCCTTGTTTCAGTCTTTGAACCACAGCCCTCTGGAAGGAAAGGGGAGTAGTTCTCCACTGTACTGAGGACATGTAAATTTTTTTCAGTATTTGGAACATACTTTCTTCACTTAAAAATGCTCAATCAACTACTTTTTAAAGTCCTTAAACTCTAGCTTGCCAACATTTGATAATGTGCATGCTAATATAAAAAAAGACTTCCCTTTTGATTTATATCAAGAGTCAAATCTCTTCCCTAGTACCACTGAGACACCTCTTTATATAGCTTTATATATGTAAAAATAAAATACATATAAAATCTTCAGCTGATTTTTTCCAAGCACAGAGAGAGAGAGGGGAGAAAAAAAAGATGCATTATTAAATGGTTTCAACAAACAGGAAAAATCCCAACTACATAATGCAAAAAGGATTATTAGGTTATGAGTAACAGCAAATAGACAAAGAGCATGAAAGAGGCTGTTTTGGGGAAATTTTTTGTCGCTTTGAATTTCATTGCCAGCTTCTATGGTCCTTTGCTGTGGAAAGAAATGCTGTTGTGAATTGGTGGCTTTCAT